CAAATCTTGAATAATGTATACTCTTCTTTTGTTTCTGTCAGCTTTCATTTCACTTCTTTAAATAAGATTCTTTTATCTTTCTGTTTATAAAACATCAGAATACTGTTTTTTGAATAGATCTGCTTAATTCTGAACTCTTTTTTGCCACTGAATCAGTCAATTCATTGTCATGAATATTCATATGAGTAGGAACTCAGTGCAGATAAATTATCAGTTTTGATATTCTTCTCTTTTAAATCTTCATAACAGAATTTAAAATCAGTTCAAGATTCATTTGATCATTATGAATCTGACTATTTTTAAGTCTTTTCAAAGCAGCTTAACTATCAGAGAATATTCATATCTCTTTCAAGCTATTTCCTCTTTTATAAGGTTTTATCTCAATAAGTTTGAAAGCTTTTACTATTGCAAATAGTTCAGCATCAAAGACTTCAGATTCACAGCTCAAATTTCGAAAATCTGAGATGAAATTAATATTATATTCAGGATAAGCAATGCATGCATCTAATCTGTTCAAACTTTCATTTTTTGAGTTATCTGAGTAATTGAGAATAGAGTCTTTTATATTGATTGTAGAGATCTTCTTCAAATGCTGTTTGTATTGTCTCTCTTCAGATAGTTCACTTATTTGTAAGTCTATGAGAGATTTCAGCTTTTCTCTTAAGAGAGATATCTTCTTATAATCAATTTTCTCAATATTTAATGAAGAAAATTGATTTTTAATCAGTGAATATAGTCTGTACAGTTGAGAGAGCATTTTCTTTGAATAATTATTCTCAATTTCAATCAAGAAATCTATTTCAATCCAGTTCATTTCCTGAGTGAATTGATAGAAATGAAGAAGAGACTCTTTCTCTGATTATATAATTTAAGCTCATCTTCATGACTCTCAGAGCATAGTTCATACAGGTCTTTTCAAATTGAATAGCAGACAATGAAATTGAAGCTTTTATTTTCATTGCTTTAATAGAAGATGATTTGAATGCTCTCGGAATTCTTCTCAAAGCTTTGTTTTACAGACTTTGAAAGAGTTCAGTGAAATTTCCTTGATTATTTCACTAAACTTGAACTTCATAATCAGCTACTGAGGTGATACAGGCTATGTATAACTGTCTCATAGCCTTACAGCAGTATATTATTCTACAAGACAAGATGAGTTGTTCAGAATTTTCATCAATGAAAGAGTGTTGATTTTAATAATATCTATATCTCTATCATCTCCGCCTCTGTCATTCATGCTATACTTGCAGTGACAGCAGTGAAAAGTTGCAATGTTTATCAAGTTAATTTCATCATAGTATTTCTGAATGCAGGTCTGTCATCTAATAATCAGCTCTACATGAATCAACTGACTGAATTTAATAATAATACTAATTATATATATCTGCTTCTGCAGTCTCTCTACAGTCTCAAACAGACTCTCTACTTGTAATTCAATCTACTTACAAATAGACTGGCCGCCGGGACCATGAATTTCACATTTAGTCCCATTTGGTCTGGTCTCATTCATTTCTTAGCATGAATCCCGCTGGGACTGACTATCAAAAAAACATGTAAAGTGACTATATATCAGATCTTAAAATGAAACCATGACTTGAAAAAAATGAGAAAGTGATTTCATTTGATCTCATTTAGTCTCATTCTTGACATAAAGTTACTATTTTTAGACATTTTAAGGTTTTTTTTAGACTATTTTTAATTTTTTAAAAAGTAACACTTTTTGATAACACTTAAATGAGATTTAAAGTCATTTAAAGCAATAAAAATAATTTAAATTGAGAAGTGAAAATCATGATCTCATTTGGAAAATGTGATAAGAGTAGACAGTAAGTCTCACTGAGACAGTATAAGACTACTATCTAATGTTAAAACCATGTAATGAGATCAGTTGAATTGATAATGAGACTATCAAAAAATCTAGTTCTGATTCCAGACACGGTTACACGGTCAGTCTACTTACAAATCATCTCAAGAATATCAGCTTTAAATCCTCTTATCATGATAAGAGTCTCTGATTCAAAAGAGATTCTCAGATATTTCTCACTCTCTATATAAATAATATCAAGTTAATAGATCTTGACACAGAGGTCATTAAATAGATGTTTATTAAATTATCAATTGATTCACAGTGAAAGATCTGAGATCTGTAAATCACTACTTCAATATGAAGATTCAGAAGAATGACAGTGATATCAAGCTATTATAAGTCATCTATATTGAATCAATATTGATGAAATTTACAATGACTGATTTCTGAGCTGTAATAATTCTTATAAAACTTATTCTTGACTCACTCTTTAATTCTGAATCTTTTGATGAGTTTAAATATCAGTAAGTTATTAAATCACTTTAATAACTTATTATATACACTTATTCTGATATATCTTTTACAACTGTTGAGCTCATCTGTTAATTAAGCAAGTCTATACAAGCATGCTGAGCTGCAGTTATATAACTCTTTCACTACATTCACAGCACAACTGATCACTATATTTATTATATCACTGAAGCAGAAGAGCTTAACTTTGAAGTCTTTACAGATTCTGATTAAGCAGATGACATCAGTGACTGCAAATCTATATCAAATCTTCTCATTCATCTCACTGACAGATTAATTATGTGAGAATTCACTAAGTAAATAATTATAATACTGAGCATCACAGAAGCAGAGTACATATCTATCTCTAAGAGTCTCAAAACTGTAATCTGACTGCACAGACTACTTATGAAGCTTGAATTTTTATATCTCAATTTTATAATTTCTCTATACATTGATAATAATGAAGTAATTATTATAGTGAACAGTGAAAAGGTCATCTGCAATATATATCACATTAATATTAAACATAATCATGTTCACAATACTGCAGCTGCAGACATTATTAAAATCATATAAATAGATATTATCAGCATGACTGTAGATACTCTAATAAAAGCTTTAATAGCTGAAGTTCATGAAGATACTCTAATTAATATAGAAATTTAAATATCTACAGTCAGAAAAGCTCTGAAGATGTTCTGATAAATACAGAGTCTTATCAGCCTGCTATCTCTACAGTAGTTCATTCATTCATTCATTTTACTGTTTTCTTTATTTGTATTCTTCAACTCTTATTAGTTCTTCATGAAATCTTTGGTAGAAGACACTATCATTTTTATATATAATATTCTTTCTCTAGTTATGAAATCACTCTGATGAGTTGTAAATATCTACTTAGTAAAGTAGTAGTTAAGAGAGGTGTTGAATTCTCTTTCTATAGACTGACTGCTTCTGCATAAGTGAGATATTCACTGATTACTTAGTAAACATCTACACATATAAAAAGCCGCGTAATAGATAGATCTTAATAATACAATCAATCACTACATTATATCATCTTTATCAAGACAGTTATATTTTTAAATATTATATCTGCATTTACTGCTAATGATTTACATTTATTTAATTCAGAATAAATTTTTAAAAAGCTTGTAATACAGTTTTACACTCTCTTAGATATATAATATTAATTAAAAATCTCTATTTTTATTATTAATATATGAAAATTAATGAAGTAAGTTAAGTAGTAATAATATTAAATATTTAATAATTTTAACTGAGTAATTTATACAGAAGAAAATCTTGTTTTTAATAAAGAGATTTTTTAATAAAAAATAAACAATTATAGTAAGCTTTTAATCAGAAAAGAAAATATTATAAATATGATAAAATAATAAAAATTTTAAATTTTTCAAATTTATTATTAATACAGTTCTTTTCATTAATAAAAATACAGATTATATATAAGAAACTAATCACTTTTAAAACTATTAAACAAAATGAATAGACTTGTAAAAAGAATATTAAGTTATAATATATTATTCTTAAAAAATAGAAGAAAACAGATATTATGAAAAATAAAATAAAATAGAAAACAGCTCATTAAATAGTAAAATAGAAAAAAGATATAAATAAAACTACAAGAATTACTTAATAACAGATTGAAAAGAGACTTAGAGATATAAGAAAGACTTAAGAATAAAAAGAGAAGAAAAAATAAGCTGTTATATAACAGTAATCATAGTTAAATAAGAAAAAAATTAAAGAATTTAAAAATTATCTTTTTAATTAGAAAAGTAAACTCTTAATTTTATAAAAAGTAATTAAGTTATATTTTCAAAACTCTATCAGACTTACTTATAAATTCACTATCAAAGAAATCTGATAATATTATAATTTTTACTAATTTAATAACTATTTGTAGACTGATTATGTAACTGTGTCTGAGATCAGAATCAGATTTTTTAATAGTTTTATTATCAATTTAACTGATCTCATTACATAGTTTTAATATTAGATAGTAGTCTTATACTATCTCAGTGAGACTTACTATCTACTCTTATTACATTTTTTAAATAAGATTATAATTTTTACTTCTCAATTTAAATTATTTTTATTACTTTAAATGACTTTAAATCTTATTTAAATATTATCAAAAAGTATTACTTTTTAAAAAATTAAAAATAGTCTAAAAAAACCTTAAAATGTCTAAAAATAGTAACTTTATATTAAGAATGAGACTAAATGAGATCAAATGAGATTACTTTCTCATTTTTTTCAAGTCATGATTTCATTTTAAGATCTGATATATAGTCACTTTGCATGTTTTTTTAATGACTAGTCCCAGTGGGATTCATGCCAAGAAATGTATGAGACCAGATCAAATGGGACTAAATGTGAAATTCATGGTCTGAGTGGCCAGTCTAACTATTTATTCACTGAATCTGTCTCTATTCAAGATTTCATATTCTGAGTGAGTTATTAAGTTAAATAAATATCTACAGAATTAGCTATATATTTTTATATGTAATTTTCTATATATATTTTCATCATATAATATATCAGCTTAAAATCTAATTGTGTTGTTGAGATATTGTTGAAAATATTTCATCATAGTGATGGCGAAATGGCGGCCGTTGAGTGTAAGCGGGCGTTGGGTGGTTGGTCACGTTATGTCTGCCACAATTACAGAGTAGATGAATTATAATGATAACAATGTTGATTCCTCTACAATATCTATCACCCTTCTACTCACGTCTCCCAATCACAACATGCAAGCTGAAAAGCAATGAGGAATTGGTCTCTTGGAGATTCTTCAGCGTCAATTTCCCTAATCGAGTAATTTGATCCATCGAGAGTGCGTCGCGGCAACCTTGGCTTGGCTGAAGGGAAGCTTGCAAGATATGCGAAATAGCCTTGACGTAATTAGCGTTCAACATATCTTTATATTCGGGTTTATCAAGTGGGGCAATGTCTTTTCTGCAATCCTTGAGGCCGCATTTTTTGAAATGAGGGAAGAGCTCAGTCACGCTCCTAAGTCGAGGGAGAAAGAAGACAAAACATCACATCAGCCTGTGAAATATCGAGATATGGAAATACAGGAGGACCTGCATTGTACTCACTTTCCAGATTTCCCATGACTGCTGACGATTTGTTTGAATTGATTCAGGAATCTATTTGCGTCGTCTACGTTACAGCCGAGCACACCCGGTATGACAACGCCGTCTAGCACCGCAATATCAGTCCATTGCAAGTACCCTCCAGGACCTGGATATTTTCATCAGCTTCAAAGACCACCCACATTGGGGAATTTGCCGGGTTGAATCTCACGAAGCAATGTTATCAAGTTGCGAATTACAAGTTCCCGTGGA